TAATTAATTAAAAAGGTTTTATTAGAGAAATAGTAATTTAAAAGGGTTGGTAACAGCTTCTTAAACTGTGCAGTTATTTTGGGTACTAGACGACTATACTTCATTACTATAGTTAGCTATTTTGGGTCCTGGGTGGTAAGTCAGACCTAGAAGTACAGTTTCTTAGATGTGGAAGATTTAGACATTATAGATTTTCATGAAACTAAAATCTTCTTTGAAACTACATTGGTATAAACCTTAAATACTACATCCTTACTTCCTTTATATATCTTTTTGAGGTTTACTTAATCATTTCCCAACTAATCATCCTAATTCTTGATTCCATATGACCAATGAGCTCTTGTAATTGCAGTGCACATCTGTACATCTTTATGTTCTTTTTAAAAATGTATTTTATTTCCCTCCCACTAGACCTTAATCTCCTTGGGGATAGGAATCAGCATAATCTTCATTCTGTATTCCCAAGTGCTTGGGATTGCTTTGTGAATCCTATGTGTAGTCAATAAATGAAGTACACATTCCTCTCTCTAAGGAGCATTTTAATGCTGGGTTGGTTTGTTGTACTGGTTTATTTTTCCTTATCTTTGCTAGTCTATGCATGCTCAAGAAATGTTGATGGCAGCCATAGGATAACATGATTAGGGAAAAATGTGCTTCTAAAATTATATGGTATACTTCAAAGTCAGGACTTAGTTACCTATGGATTTTCTATGGCTTTGTAGGTAGCAAGATGGCATTTAAATTATAGCTATACATTTCTAACCATAAGCAATTTTCTATCTTTTAATACAATATAAATATCCCATCCAGTTGCTGAAAATGTTTTTATATATTTTTCTCTTAAATTACACTTTAGTTTTTCTGAGACTTCTGTTCAACCCTTCACCTTTAGCATCTCTTGAATTTTGAGTCAGGACTCTTCGTCAAGGGAGCAACACATGGACATCAACTACATAAATAAGTCTTATTTCTGAACAGGGCTTTGTGTTTTTTAAACCTACTGACTCTTGAAGTTTCAGTCCTCACATAAGGCAAAATCATTCCTTTCATTTGTTTCTTCAATCTTTTCCCCCAAACACTTTACTGGATTGCAGACTGATTCAGGTTTCAGCTCCTTTACTCCTACTGAAATATTTGGTAATGTTGGTGTTGGGCACATTTGTCAAACGCATTTTTAGAACTTTCCTTACTTCCTTCTGTCATGTGGCCATATTTTGAACCTGTGGCACCCAGCATGTCTCCCTGGATGCACCACTAGTTGCCTCTGCATGCTTTTTTTTTGCATTAATGTCAAGCCATCTTGAGTTTAGTTTTCTCAAGAGCCTCTATTCATTCAGCTGTCTTTATGGAAAAAATATAGGTTAAATTTAAACTTAGTTGCAATGAAATAATACTTTGGAAATATGTGCTCCTCCTTTTTACCTCTTAGAATATAAGATCTTCATTCTAGTATTCTAAACACATTCATCTATTATTAACCTGAGGGAACATTGTAATTTGTTGCATATTAAAGCCAGTGAGACAGATAGGAAATAGCTTATAACACAAGAAATAGATTTTGGATAAAACTGGGGTCTGGAGAGAAAGTTTTCACTAAATCCTTTCATTCTTCCTTTAGCAGATGAACAACTAACACTGAAGGGCATGTGCTCTGAGAATACTCATTCAGATAGCTTCTCTGTTACAATATTTAGGTCAACTTCACAGCAACAGAGAGGTGATATGGATGAATAGGATGAAAAGGAAAAGAAAAATCCATTCCTCTGTTGGCTCCTGTAATTGTAAGGAGAAGAGGGAGCGAGAGAATAAAGTAGTGGAGCAAACAGATGTCACTGTCCTCATTTATCACCAGGGAAGTTGAAGGGACTCCAAGAAAAAGGTTGAGACTGGTGAGTAGGCCACATTAGAGGCTAGGTGATTGAGTCACTCCATCTGATAATCCAACCCCAGAGAAGGATTCTGGGGTTGACCTTCTCCTGGGCCATGCTTGGTTCCCATGCATAGAACAGACAGATTTCAGAAAGAGCTGAACTTGCCAAGGAAGTTTGCAGAGAAGGTGTCATTGTATAGGTGTGTGTGTGTGTGTGTGTGTGTGTGTGTGTGTGTATGTGTGTGTGTGAGAGAGAGAGAGAGTGTTGCAAGGAAGACCCCTCAAATCACAGTGACCTACTAACCCAAAGTGACCTACTAGCCCAAAGTGTTCATAATCTGTTTTTTATAGTAAAGTTTTGCTGACCCATGATGTCAGATATTAAGGTTTTAATGAGCATCATATCCAGTCCAGACATTTTATCCAGACAGACATGGTCACTGAGGTTCTGGGAGGGTCAGTGACATGTCCAAGATCAAATTAAATGCAAGGAAAAGCAACCATGACATTTTAAATGAGGTAAAAGATAAGCAAGAAAATCTTTACAAAGTTAGTATCCTTTGAGCAGCTTCATCATAAACAATATCACTGGGATTCCATGATTATTATGAACTAAATTAAACTAAACCCTAGAGAAAAATAAAAACAATCAATGAAAATTCCTTTCAACCTGTGAAATAATCTTGGGTTTTATAACAATGGAAAGATTCATTTAGTCAGTGGCTTTGTGCCCGACACACCCAAGAACTGCATTTTTGGGACATTCATGTGTCCTTATTAAATATTAAAGTCAGTCCCAATGGAGGGGCCCCTGTCTCATGTCACACAGTTTAGAGGTTTGGAAAATAACTTTAAAAAATAACTTTAAAATGAAACTCCAACAATTGGGAGGTTGTCTGTCCCCCCTGCCTTGGTCCCATTTGTTGTAAGAAGCCCTCAGAAAAACAAGGATGATATCATTTAATGCCACATCCCTGTCTCTTCAGAAAGTAGGATGGTCGCCAAGTTGTCTCCTTCTTCAGGAGAGTCCTCTCCATTTGTTCTCCCACTTCTTTTTAAAATCTCACTTTCACTTTTCATCCCCTGCAGGTAAGAGTTGGCTCTGCTACCCCACTGAATAGAAAGTGCTTTTTAGCCCTCATCTCATTTGACCCCTCTAAGACAGCTGGCTTCAATTACTGGAGTTGTCTCCCAAATCTGTTTCCAGCCCACATCTTTCTTCCAAGCTAGAGAATTCAGGTCTAGTTGTCCACAGGATACCTCCATTGGATATCTCATGGGTATCTCAAACTCAGAAAGCTGAAAGCTGAAAATATCATCTTTTCCTGAAACCTTTTCTGATTTTGGAAACTTCTCATCCCATACCCTTTGGTGGCTCCATGGACCTACACAGAATAAAGTTCTTGGGTTCCATCAAGTCTTCTATGAGCTGGATTCCTGCCAACCTCCTCTCTTAGTTGGCCTTTACTCTCCCCATCCTTGCAATCCCTTGATTTCTTCTAGCTGTGCTGTTTTTCTGTTCCTTTGTTCATCCCAATTTATATAATCAACTTTTGAGATTTAGTTCAAATACAACCATCTTTACAATCATCCAGCAACACACTGAATGCTAGAAAAGAGCGGTCAGAATTCTTCCTTCTTTCCCTCTGTACCTCCACAAACCTTGGGATTCATCATGCTGATGGGGCAATTTTGTGGCATCAACCTAATCCTTGCTGAAAAAGCTGGAGTTGGCTGTAGTTGTTGTGGAAATTTTAAGTTCTATGCTATCTAGGAATGTCTTACTGACTTCATTTCAATAGTTGGCTTCAAGGGGATGGTAAATATTGGAGTAATTTAATCAGAGGACTTACAGTGAAAAATTTTTTAAGACAATGCATTAGCTAGAATTGGGATAGTATTTTTAAGGGTAGAGTAAAATAGCACTTTATTCAGCATTTAGTACATTACAATGGGGTTAAAGAGCATTAACTCTTGAGTAACAGTTGAGTTTGCTAAAGCTGTGACTCTGGGCAAATTTCTTAGTCTCTTAGTGCCTCAATTCCCTCACCTGTAAAGAGAATATGGTAATATTCTTCAGATAGAATTGTCATGAAGGGTGTGTATGTGTGCCCACGAATGCATGCACTTGCATGCATATTCATATGTATGTTATATAGATAGTGCTTTTATTCAATAAGTGTTATCTATTACTATTTTCAACTTGTTAGATGACTATAGAAGAGAAACCAATATTCAGTGGCTAGGAAAAAGATCTTATTCATCTAAAGGGTTGAGCAGCCTCCTTCTTTTAAATTAGTAAAAGCAGCCCTCAAACTTAACTCTCCAATTAAACCATCCACTGAATAACAATCTTATATAGCATGTGTTTATTTAGCTTATTATACTAGACAAAATAGTAGCAGTAAATATCATGTTGGGTAGTAGTAAAATCAATAAAAATGAACAGGCTTTTGAACATGCAATTTTTAATTTTATGTGTAAATACTTTGATAGTTTGAGAAAACGATTACAACAACTTCAAACACCAGGGAGACCAGTTAATATGAACCACTGAGTTCAGTATATGGGATCCCTATGGCATTTGATACAACAATAAATTCCAAGAGGTAGGATGTGCTGTAATTATTGTCCTAATTTTAGGACAATCAAAAGTAATAACAGAATCTTATGTTTTCTGTTTTGTGCACATTGCAATGTTCCTTGTAAAATTTTAAAAACTTTGTTCTGTATATCTGTTAAAAAAAAAACCAGACTGTGCTTAACCAGTTGACACCTTAGAGACTCTGACCAGAGACCCTAAAATTCTCTTTGATAACTCTTTTCAAATTTGGGTGATTGCCTGTGCTGATTATTATCTTCAGTGTTACTGATACTGATCAAGGAGCCTCATGGTACAAAAAAATCAAGGATAGCCAAGAAGTACAAAAAAGTTTAACAAAGAAAATACTTTTTATATATTTGCCTGTTGTTCCTTCGGCACTACTTTCCTGCATGTGTAATTGTTTCCACTGACTTCTCTCCATCCCAGCACAACCAACTACTGTGTTCCATGCTACTATGGTTTCTTGCCAGGATTGCTATTTTTTCCTAATTGATCTCCCTTCAACCACTCTGATGCCATTCTTACCTGTTCTCCAATTTGTTGCCAGAATATAAGTCTAATCATGTCACTTCATTTTGCTAAATTCCTTTAGTGATGTACTGCTGCTCTTGAGATAAAAGGAAAATTCTTCAATGAGGCTTATAGGATGCTGTATCATCTAATTTCATCTGTTTATGGTAGAATTTGCAAGTAGTTAATAACAACGTTCCTCTTCCTCCTGTGACACAAATGGTTTACATTTCCTGGGATCCCTTCCTGTTAGGAATGGACCATATGAACGTAGCTAATGGAATATAAGGAAAAGTGATGTCCTGTTTTCAGACGTGGCCCATTAAAACCTCTGATGTTCATCACTCATGATACCACCAGGTCAGTGGGTTGGTGACATTTGATGATGACTTTTAAAGTCACATGTTGAAGATGACAAAATAGTATCAGCATGAATCTGTAAGAGTGGATTCCCCAGGATCTCACATCACTACCCCTAACATGGAATTTCCTTGGGATACTATGGGAGAGAGAAATAAACATTTATTATTTTGAACCATTATGTTTAAGTCCACTAGCTGCTACAGACTGGCCTATTATAATTAATCTGTTGCATCTTCTGCTCATCTGTCCACAACACTGACTATGCCTCACCTCTCCACATCAGCAGAATGGACCCTTCAATTTCTCATACTTGTCATGATCCCTTCTCCTTTGGGATCGTCATTTATGCATTTACCCTTCCATTAACACTTTCTGGCAAAGCCTTCTCATCCTTCAGACCTCAGCTCATATATTGCTACTCCGTGGAAGTCCTCTCTGAACTCTAGTCTCTCTCTTAAATGTTCATCTTTTCATGTGCCTCTCCTTCATAGATCTTTTGACCACTGCAACTTTATATTTGATTTTGTGCTTGTTTAATTATGTTAGGTTGCTTCTTAGTATGTAAATTCCATGAAGCCAAGGACAATGTCTGTTTTTGTTCATTCCTTATCTCATAGCATCTTGATTTGAAGACAATCAGTGATTTTTGTTGAGTGAACAAACCCCATGGTTGATATATACCATAAAAAAAGATTAAACATTTTTAAGTCTAATTTGTCATTGCAACTTATGGGGCAATTTTTTCTCAATATGAAATGCTACTTTGCTTTTGATACTTGCTGACATATTTTAAGATCACAATCTCAAGAAGATACAGGGCTTAATGTACCACATCTGGATGTGCTAGCCCTTCACCCAGCTGTCCTGTTTTAGCTTCTTTGCCATCAGCATTTCAGTTTCCCAGATAGTTGGTAACCACATACAATTTCTGTATTATTTCTTAGCTAAGAACCTTCTGATGGGGAAAAAATACTAGAGAATGAAGTATTATATTTTATTTTATATCTAGATAGAACTATATGTAATGAAGAGAAATGAACAAATGAGCTTCATAAAATAGATATGGGGCTGATTTTTAGTTAGGGCTGCCAGATACATTAGTATGTCCCATGCAATCTTTGGTACATATTTGTTCTAAAATTTTTTGTTTATCAGAAATTCAAATTTAGTTAGGTATCTTATATTATTTGTTAAAGCCAGAGGTCATATTTCTACTATGCAGTGCAATCAATTCTATTACTTGTAATAAGATTTACTATTTATAGAGTGCCCTGCTATATGAAAGGTAGTGTTCTAAGCCCTTCACATGTATTATTTCATTCCTTTGTTCCAATGATCACATGAAAAATGTATTATGTGATCTCCTCTGTGGCGATTAGAGCCAGAGAGTCTGCTGGGGTCCTGGGTCATTCTAATCCATAGTGGTGGAAACAGAATCAGACTGACTCCAGGGTGTGCCTGCTTCACCAACATCCCACAATTGCACATATTACACTTAAAGTAGGAGGCCATTTACAAATGAGTACTCTTTTTCATATTGAAAAAGGGTTCCTTTCCCTAGCCCTTTTCTAAACCTGGGGAATTGATTCTGTTGCTTACCTGGCAAATCAACCATCTAATTTGCACACAGAGCCGATTTTACAGAAATCTAAATACACTTTACTAGATTTGCATGTTAACACTAAAAGAGAAAAGTTCCCCATGTGCCTTTTAGTTGTGGCAACCCTTTGGTTTTATAGTCTTGTTTGAGTAAGTAATTATTCTGGTAATGCCATGGCCTCCTTTATTGAGTCATAAATGCACCCTGGACAACTCAGAATAACCCATAGGCCCTCTGCCTTGAGCCTTATAACACAGTGGAGTTAGATATGAGTGGGTTTGTCTGCCCCTGCAGGTTTCTCTCTTTCTCTGGAAACCTCCTATGAAACCATGTGAAGGAGGGAAAGAGGATCAGATAATTGGGATCTTTAAGATGGCTATTATGAAAAATGTTCTGGAACCAATTCAAATACCAATCAGAAACCACATTGTTCAACTAAATCACTTTCAGATGCCACATAAGATACAAAATACAATTATTTCCAGTTTAAAAATATAATGTTCCTTAAAAAAAAAACAGTATTTTATTTTATTATTGAAAAAAAAATCTGCCTTGGCTGGAATTCAGGCCTGTCACAGATGATGTACAGACAGGCTTTGTGTGCTTCCCCTTGGACCCGGGGCCTGTAGCCTCACTGTAATGTATTTAAAAGTTCCTTAAAATGGATGTGACGGCTGTTTTCTTTGTGTATTACAGAAATATACAGAGTTCAGAGGCTCCGTGGCTACACTTTGGGCATGTATGTCATTAAAGGAATGAAAAAAAGATGATGGCCAAATGCTGTATTAAAATCCCATTAGAAACGCTGGGAGGAATTTATAGCCCCAATCTCTTTTATCTGACAGGCGTCAGTTTGGTGAAACAGTTTTCCTTTTTGCCATTTTCCCCTTTTCTTTCTCTCTCTCTCTTTTTCTTTCTTTCTACTTTTTTCTTCCTTTTCCATTCTCTCTCTCTCTCTCTCTCTCTCTCTCTCTCTCTCTCTCTCTCTCTCTCTCTCTCTCTCTCTTCCTCCCACTCCCTCTCTCTTTCCCTCCTCTACCTCTCTCCTTTCCCTAACTTCCTCTCACTTCTCTTCCTCTTTTATTTCCTTCCAGTTCCTTACTTGGACACGGAACCATATTCGTGTCTGGGTGTCCTCAACCACTGGAAAAGCAAATATTATCAGGTTTCTGTCAATATTTGTTCTTCTTTCCTGTCTCCTGCATCCTGCATCAAGCAGCCTTTGTGGGGGAATCATCCATCCTTTTTCCAGATAGACCTGTCTCTCTAGCTGAGGTTTCATTAAATCCTCAGTTGTTTATCTAAGCCGTCAGCACTGTGATAAGGGGTAAGTCAGTTAATGCTCCACGTGACCTCAGGAATGATTTCTGTTACAACAGCTCCCATGTGATCCATCAGTCTCTGAGCATGAATTTTCATGAACTTAGAACCATTTCTCCAACCTGTGGATCAGAGGTCACTGGTTTTCACATACTGAATTGGAACCCGAAGAATTTGTTGGCTCTGTCAAGAGAGGTGTGGATTTTTGTCCTTCAGATCTGTAGGGCATGCTGTCGACCTCTGTGGAACAGGAGGGAAATACCAAACCATTACTTCATTGAGTATAGAGTTACTTATGGATTAACATGGAAAATTCAGTCCACAGAGAGCTGCTAGAAGGTCTGGCAATAGCAGCAGTGGGAGCTGGAGGTTTGGTTCTGGTTCAGCTTTGCCACGTACAAGCAACAACTTGTTTATCTCTGTAGGTTGATTTCAGTGAACCCAAACCAACAGGGAGTGGGGGATGGAAGGTGAGATAAATAATAATATGAGATATTGTAACCAAAGATGTAAATTTTTATTTATGGTAGTGAGAGAAGGATCAGTAGTGAATTTTGGAAGGATTAATAGTAGTGAACTTAGTAGTGCAACTAGAATAAGTAATTCCATACACCAGGAAATGCAGACTCACTGATTGTACGTGACTTTGCTTAGTTAATGCCATTTTCCTTTCCTTCTAAGAGCCCACGTGCCATTTGAGTACAAGGATGGTGCAACTCATCTCTGTGCTTATTTGCCCGAAGTGGGAAGAAAGGTATAAAATTAGGACATATTCATTAGGAAGAAAGTGGGGGAGGAGGAGAAATCCAAAAGCTAGGTAGAAAACTGAGAGCACACTGTTATAGAAATCAAATTAGGGAAACATGTGGGGAAGCACAAGTGGCCCTTGTGTTGAATGACATGTGTAGGCAAAGAGAGAAGCCAAACAAAATGCCCTTCAACTGGGGGACATCTAAGGTCAGTCTATGGAGAGGAATAGTTGACTATTGTCACTTCATCCTGCAATTTTTATCCAAGGAAGTTAAAACTCTTTACTTTCCTGTGATTTCTAGAAAATAGGAAGTCAGCACTGTCATTTAAGTTTGAATTAACAGAATTTTAAAGAAGTGAATCTTTTATAGTTATAGATTAATAAAAAAAAATCAAATTGATACATTTTAACTCTGGGATCCCTGACCTCTGTGCTATATTCTACATTTTATTTCTTACTAACATGAGATGGGCTACTAGTGGAAAAGGACAGAATGATTAAAAGGTGACTGAGTATATACAGGCTACTTCTTGCTACTTCTTTGAATCAAATGAAAGGAAGAATTTGAGCTAGTTGGTAGTGAAGAATTATTTGCAAAGGTAACAGATGTTTTCTCTTTTTTTGGTAATTTTCTTTATATATTTTTTAATTGAAGTACCATTGGTTTACAGATTTTGTTAGTGTTTTGGAAGTATAGGATATTCCCCCTCAGGCCCAACCACAACAGTGCACCTGCTTCCAAAGTACCCATATTCCTCCACCCTAGCCATTGTCCTCTTTCTCCACAGTATACTCACCCTTCCCCCTCCTCTCGTGGATGCCTCAGTTCTATGATTAGCTTTCTAGGTTTGGTTTAAAAGTTTGTCTTTGACCCTTTGTTTGGTTTCTCTATACTCCCCATATAAGTGTCATTTATCTTTCTCCTACTGGTTTAAAAAAATAGCAGAAAATTTGAATTAGTAATAGGTGAGAAAAGAGAAATGTGAACATTTTACCATCGTTACATTCAAATGACCATCTCAGCAGAGCAATTCTGTATCTACAAGAAGAATTGAGTTGGGGCCTCCCTGGTGGTGCAGGGGTTAAAGTCTCAGTGCTATCAGGCTATCTCTAGCCACTGTGGCTTGAATCCTTGGGGAAGGAGCTAACCCACGTGGCACAGCAGACCTCTCCTGTCTCATCCACTGCTCCCCTCAGCAGTGTATTTCAATTGATCTGCCTGTTCTGTTCCCCACTCTGTCTCTGGTGAAAATTTCACACACACCCCTCCCCCCACCTCCTGCACCTCTGGCCCACACTCTAGTTCTTGTATGCATAAATAAATAAAACAAAACTTAAAAAAAAAAAAACAGTTGAGAGGAGTCATTACTGTGGCATTTAACACTAACTTCAAATTATAGACCCAGCTACAAAAGAAAGAAAATGGAATTAGGCAATACCATTTAGCTTATTTAAAATCATAGTTAAAGAATAACAAAATGCATTCTGAGAAAACAATTGGAAACACCCAATGACTAAGAAAATCAGGAGTCAGAGAGAATATGGACTTCTTCAGGAAAAACTGGGACAAACAGATTAGATTACTTTTGGGGAGAATAAATTTACAGTGTTAGTGAGAAAAAGGAAAGTGGATGTTATTTATCAGAATGTTTATAGACAATTGGTTCAGAAATTGCAAGATTGTATTTTTAACTTATTTTGAGAGTTTCAACTGGCATATATTGTATTCCAAAGGCTGGTTGAAGCAAACCAAGAAAGAAAAGAGTCAAAGTGTTGGAGTTTGGGAAGCAATAGTGTTTGCATTTTTTTCTTATAAATATTTTTATTGCTTCTCTGAAGAAAAAGACAATGGAACATTAATGAAATTGTCACTTAAATACTTTGAAGGGGTTAGTGAACACTAAAAAATGACAGAATTATGAGACAATTTTTTTTTCTCTCTCCTTTCTTTGGATTCTGTGAAAGATCAGAGGAGAAAATTAATTCATTCTACATTTATTTCTCCATGATCACATACAGTCCATAATATATGCAGCAGAAACATGCATAAAATAGTCATTTTTTTATTATTTAAGTTTTCAGCATCTTAATTTCTTTATTTTTAAGATAAAGATTATAGCAGCTGATTCTGAGGATTATCATCAGCATTTAAATGTGATGATTTATGTGAACAGCACAATACTTGACATGTAGTAATGATATTGACAATATTATTGAACAAGTAACGTGTGCTAGGTACTCTGTTAGGTCTACTGTGCCTGTAAATATAGTTAATACAACATTATGGTAAATATGAACATCTTAATCCCTTTTTACGGATGAAGAAACTAGTTTAGAGGTTTGGGGTAACTTATCTGAGCTTGTAACGAAGTGCAACTGAGATTCAAACTCAGGCAGTCTGATTCCATTGCTCATACCTGGCAGCTATTATGGTTATTACTACAACAACTAGGCTGAGTTGAAATTGCAGCAGTAGGAATTTAGATTTATACATGAAGTTCTTGACAATAGCAATTATGAAAAAAATGGAATGGAAATTTAAAAAATATGAAATCCCTGGAGATATTTAGGCATATTCAGCTGTCAGCTGAGGTCCTACTATCTCTAGGAGACTACCATCAACTTGGGTTTAAAATTTAAATTAAGTACTTATGCAAGTTCAGAGCCAACTCAACAATTTCTGTTAATTCCTAAAGGCGTTCTTTCTCATAGTTTTCTTTGGACTCATCCTGCAACATCCAAGCACATAGTCTGCTTCCTCTCACAAATCACGAGTTTAGTGATTTTATCAAAGATCTGGGAGGTTATGGAAAAAGTCAAATCACTGAAAATATCACTAACTTCTTGGCTTCAACTTCACTCTTCCTCATTTTATACAGCATCAAATATTTTTGGCAAGGGTGTCATTTCCAATCACCTAGTAAATAGTGGAGGCAGGACTCCAGGGGCAGTCCTGTGGGCAGATAAGTTGATCAAATCAGTCAAGTGAGGAGACAAATTTCTTCATCCTTCTAGCTGTTTTTCTTATGTCCTCCATTTTCT